CTCCGTGTTTAAGAATTTCTGTATTTTTTTAAAATTCTGGGACGTTATCTGAACCGGAGTAACATCTCTGAACCTGTGGCACCTTCCTGCCCCATGGCGGTTTCTGCTGGGGTGGAGCTGACTTTCTTACAAGCAGCTGGAGTAGTGCTGTGGTTTGGATTTGGGATGAAAATAGCGTTGGTAAAACACTATTTCAGGTCATTTCTAAGCAGTCGAGGCCTTTTCTGCTCCTCACCCCACCCCGCCAGTGATGGGCTGGGGGGGCACAAGGAGTTGGGAGGGGATATGGTCAGGACAGCCGACCCCAACTGACCAAGGGGAACATCCCGTATGATGTCCCATATCCATCCCATATCCCATATCCATCCCATATGACGTCATGCTCAGAATATAGAGCTGGGAGGAAGAAGGAGGAACAGGGGGACGTTGGGAATGATGGTGTTTGTCTTCCCAAGTCCCCGTTAAGCATGATGGAGCCCTGGGGATGGCTGGACACCCACCTGCCCGCGGGAAGCGGTGAATGAATTCCTCGGTTTGCTTTGCTTGCACGCGCGGCTTTTGCTCTACCTATAAAACTTTCTTTATCTCAACCCACGAGTTTTTCCTCACTTTTGCCCTTCCGATTCTCCCCCCCGTCCCACCGGGGAGGGGGACGGGCGGCTGCGTGGTCCTGGTTGTCGGCCGGGGTTAAACCACGGCGTGCGGGGAGGCGACCAGCCCAACCAACCCCCACGGGGAGATCCACCCTGCCGCCCCTCCTTGGCTCCGAACCCATTTGACTTGGTGTCCCCCAGCCACCCTCCACCAAAACGTTTCCAGCTCTGCCTCCAAAGCGGGGCAACGGGAAGCGCCTGTGCTACTCAACGCAACCCGCTCCGGATGGGATGGGATCGGAGAGACTGGGCTAGAATAACGCACCATAAACAAGATAAGGCCAAATCTCCCCCAAAAGCAGATGGAGCTTTCTGGGAAAGGGGTTCTTGCTTTTTGAACGGTTTTCCTAAAAAGTCACATCGAGAAGGGAAGACGAGCTCTTCCTAAAGTGGGCTTGTCCAAGAGTTCAGCTTCTGCAGTTTCGTGTTTATTGGCATCGCGGCAGCACCGGTCGAACACACAAGACGAGACCCTTCATCTGATGGGGTAAGAGGAACGAGAGACAAGCTCAGGGGAAACTTTTATAAGAAACAATCGTTTCTCAATGTTAATCATGAAATGCCGGACCCCCCTTAATTTACAAACCGAAGAGAACCGAATGGGAGAGGCCGCTTCAGCCGGCAACCCGTAAAGCAGAATGGAACCAGCAAAGGCAGCGAAACCTCCCGTGCTACGTCCCGAGCTCGTTTCTACCCTTCCGAGAACATAAAGGGCTCTTCGAACTACAAACGTTTTACTCTCAGACGTGTTCCTACTGACGAGGTGGCACACGGTGGGGCGAACTTTACATCTGCAGATTAAACACGACCTAAAGCTTTTTACAAATCAATCAATCAATCAATGTGTTGGGAATGCTCTTTAAAGAACACCTGCCTTGCTAAAGAGATGGCTTTTTCTCCTCTGACTACACGAACCCAAGAGTTTATGCAGCGCTTCGTATTTCCCAATGCACGGATGTTATTTCTCAAGGCAAACACCGGGATTCTCGGCTTTTGTGTCCTATTAAACACCACAGTCTACAAAAAACCTCTTACTCTCCCTGCTACAGGAGAACTGAGAGAGCTTCCCAGAGAGGAACCGAGAGAATCCCGCGATTCCCGTGCGTGTTCCTGTGAAGTCTCGGAGAAAGAACGGCGAGTTCCGACACCACTTCTACCCGTTTCCCACCTCAGCTTCCCAAGCTCCCAGGCCCATACCGCACTGCGGAATTACCCAATTTTTACCCCGTTTCGGTCAAGTTTGTCCCGTTCTCCCTCAGCCTCCGCTTTGGGCTGGGATAACCGTTCATCTCGTGGCGTTTTCTGATGCTTACCTCATGCTACTCTTTTTTTTTTTTAAAAAAAATAAATTAAAATAAAAAAATTTAAGCAGCACATTAATTTAGGGACGGTGATGGGGTATCGCAGCAGACCGGCCAACGTCTCCTTGGAAAGAGGCTGTTTCGCTCTCCGGTGAGCTGCTCCTCAGGTGCAGAAGGAACAGAAACGCCCCATCTACGCAACCGCGGTGCATCAACGCTTCACGTCCCTCAGCGCTGGGCGTAAATCTTTCGTGTTTTGGGTTTTAGAGTTAATTTTTCCACGGAGACTGGAAACACAATGTTTAAATACAACTTCCGAGACCACTATTTTTGAAATTTGTAACAGTATAAAGCGACACGCGAAGGGAATGATTACTCTCACACATAAACGATTTGTTTAATCATTGCCGAGCCAAAATTCCTACCAGCGTCAGTGGAAGGGGAAGGAGGGTCTATCTCAGAAACAAACCCAGCAAAACTTATCAAAAATTATCTTTTTTTTTTTTTTTTTTTTTTTTTTTTAAGCGGGATTTACCACCTCTGCACTTTTTACAGCCGAATTTCAGAACTCCGAGTCTCAGGTGAGAGGGTCGGGGCATTGGGAGCCGTCCGCCCGCCACACCGGAGCCCTTCCGCTCGCAGGAGGAAGCAAACGGACGCGAAGGTTTCCACCAAATCGCAGACACGACGTCTCTCCCCCCGCTTCTTCTGGCGCTTGTTTCTCAGGACGCGGGTCACCTCAGGAGGGTCTGGCTCTGGATTTCCCCCGCACATCTCAATTTTCACAGTAGAAACAATTTTTACAGTAGAAACACATGTGGAACGCGCTTCCCAGCCATCGCGACTGCTCCAGCTGTTCACCCTCCCCATGCCCTCTGCCAGCCCCAAGAGCGAACCTTTCCACGCTTCTCACGGAGGAGGATACGGCGATGATTTGATGATGATGATATACGATGATGATACGACACCTCCCCATCCCTGGAGGTGTTCAAGGCCAGGCTGGACGTGGCCTTGGGCAACCTGGTCTAGTTGGAGGTGTCCCTGCCCAGGGCAGGGGGGTTGGAACTCGATGATCTTCAAGGTCCTTTCCAACCTAAACCATTCTGTGATTCTATGATTTGTATTTCGAATAATGCAAAAATCTCACATTTAAGCAACCGTCTCCACCTGCTCCTTAGCTCTGTGCTTCTACGCGGGGGAAGGAGGCAGAACTTCCTACACGAGGTCTTTCATCCGGGAGTTCATCGCGGCAGCGGCAGAACGAAGTGCTGCAGGCGTGCGACCACGTGCCGGGTCCGGCCCCTGCGTTTCAGGTGTTCACAGAGGGACCCGCGGTTTTGGTAGGACGGCTTTTTACAGGATTTGCTCCGCGAGGAATCACCGCACTCCAAAGAACTCTCCTTCAGGAGCGCACAGCGTACTTGTGACCACTACGGCGTTAAGCTGCGTGGGAGAAGAATAGAAGAAAATCTGTCCCCAGGGAAATTACAAGGAAATAATGAGAAGCTGGTGATAAAAGTGTTTTCTGGAAGTTACTCTCATATTTGGGATGGGCAGGGATCCCTCGGGGCCGAGTGTATCCCCCCAGTCCCCTTACGAAGCCATCCAACTCCACCGCAGCACCAGCAGTTTCTCGCTCTACCGCTCCTCATGGGAAGAAGCTGAGGCCGTCGACTCAGCTCAGGGGCTCACTGCAAAGCTTCAACTGGAGGTTAACACGGCTTTTTAAATCTTTGCACTCAACTGGAATAAGCAAAAATGCTGAATAACACCAGCCTGGGGAGAGAAGACGTGTGATTGACAAACACCGTCTCCGCAGGACTCCCCTCCTGTCTGCTGATCGTGTCCCTCTACCTGAGGCCACTGCTTTAATCTCACCTATACCTTGCACATACGTACCCCTGCTCCTTTCCAGACTCTTCGAAATCAAATTGGCATCTCGCCCCACATCCCGGGCTGCATCCCCAGCAGCGTGGCCAGCAGGGCGAGGGGGGATTGTGCCCCTCTGCTGCGCTCTGCTCTGCTCTGGGGAGACCCCCCTGCAGTGCCGCCTCCAGCTCGGGGGCCTCAGCACAGGAGAGACATGGACCTGGTGGAGCGGGGCCAGAGGAGGGCGCGGAGCTGCTTGGAGGTG